ATTGGAACCCAAGTGTGCTCTGACAAATCCACAAAAAAAAGCGATCCCAAGCGTATTGCGTGAAAGACTAATTCCCACCGAGCCGTCAAATGCCAAGCTAGGCATCAGTCAAAGAGAAAATAATACGAGCAGCAGAGCTGAATAGAGAAGGTACATCCTATAAAAGAATATAGCTTTTGGCGAACTCCGATGATATTGGCATTATTGGCCAGAACAACCGCGCCGTGAGATCTGCTTTCTCCAGACTTGATAAAGAAGCAAGGCAAATGGGTAGTGAACGAGAACAAAACGAAATATCTCCTGTCATCAAACAAACAGTCCTCGCACTCGAAACTCGGCTCTCACGCCACTGTTGACAGTCCTAACTTCGAGGTCGTAGATAATTTCGTCTATCTAGGAACTAGTGTTAACACCAATAACCACTCTTGCCAACAGATGCTACATTGGCGTTCGTTTCTCGGCGAACGAAAAACATATGATGAACTCGGTTGTGGCCGAAAACAATGTTCAGAAAGTCGAAAGATTAGTACTGGCAGATAGCAGAAGGATTGTAAATTAGCAAAGAACAAGCTCAAGGGATTTTGCACTTTGTACATTTGAATATGAAAAAAAATAGTGCGCTTTGAGTACCGCGAATGCTCACGCCATTCGACACGCAGCGACGATTGAAGAGTTGTAAAGAAATTTCATTCATGCCAAGATGATTTGAATGTATTTTGAAACCGCCTTGTAAGAGTTGATGAGGCTTGGACTAGTCAGTATGATCCCGAGTCCAAACAGGGATCGATGTAGTGTATAAAAAAAGGGAAAAGGTCACAAAAAAAAATCCAAGTGAAAAAGTGGACGTCAAAGATTATGACTACCCTTTTCTGAAATATCGAGAAAATATTATTAATTGATTACTTGCCAAAGTGAGCTACAATGAACAGCCAGTATTAAGCTAATTTGTAGCATCAAGTGCGTGAGGCAGCCCGACAGAGGAGATGTGGCAAGTTAGCGCGCGGAGTGCTGTTTCTTCACAACAACGCATCCGTTCACACCGCTCGGGTTGCGAGAGATGCCTTAAAAGCCACTAAATTTACAGAAATTGACCATACATCCTACAGTCCGGACCTGGTTGCCAGTGACTTTTTTTCAAATTTTCAGACACAGTGAGATAAAAGCGACATTTTAAAGAGAAAACTAAAGAATCTGTTTTCAGCGGTACAAAGTCACTCTCTCTTGAGGGAGCTTATATTGAAAAATAATAAACATAAAACTCTACATTTGTTTCATTAAGTACTTTAGACTGTGAACTTATACGCCATCCCTCGTATGTATATGTAATAATATACCTAACATACACACAAAGACTTTGATCTGCTGCAAGAGATGGCCGTAAACTTAATTCAAGGCACAATTCAAACTGTTCTCGCCTTAATTGTGTTTAAGTGGATTACATCACAGGCATAAATATGTGCAGTACATACAAACTTAATGAAATAAAATTGTATTGGTTTGATTGTATACACATATATATATAATATAATTGGCGATTTGTAACCGCTGACGTGATTTTCGGCCGAGCTCCTTGTCTAATTTGTGGTATGCATATTGATATTGGTCGAACCCTGGTCTTCAGAATCGCAATACGCAATGCTAGCCACTCGGCTGTTGCGGTCGTCGTTGATACATATGTATGTAGCGTTAATTGCACTAATGGGATATATATGTAGAATGGAAATAACAAAATTACAAACACAACCATTAGCAAATTTTTAAGACGTATTTGTTTATGTATGTATCATATTATATAATATAAATTTCTCCTTGTTATTGTTATTACAGTCGTAACTGCCTTCAAACGATTTCATTTTGTGAAACTGTGAAACCAATTAACAGACCGGAGTCCTACTCAGTTAGATTTTGAGCTTTAACAATGGTTAGATATTATTATTATTATTATTTTTTTTTTTTGAAATCGAGTTTAATTTAAAAACAATTTTTCCCGAAAAATATTTTATCTTTGATTTTAGCTCTTTGATAACCCTGTAGTTAGATATGCAAAACTTCCACTTTCACTTCCACAACCTTAGTATTTTAAGGATATAAGCATACCAATCGGCTATTAGTTGGCATTAGACTAGCAGCTCAGCTGAGATTATTATAACTCTCATTACAATAGTGATTTCCACCAACAATGGCGTAAGTTTTTTTTTTAATTTTTACCACTTTACTTCATTCTAAAAGGTGATTCACTACGAGGTTCTCTACTTTTTTAAAGAAAAAAACACAGCAAAATTAAATTTAATGAGAAATGTTTACCATCATTCGAAGGAACATTCTTTGACATTTATTTTTTGAAGATTATCTTGACTGTGGCTATGTCTCACAGGGTCCATTTCGATGACTCGTTCGAGCATTTCGACTCGTTACTGGCGAATGACACGCGTAATATATTGCTCCAAGACCTGATTCGAAACGAGATTATCCGTATAGACTTTAGATTTTACACATCCACAAGGAAAAAATCTAACGGTGTGATATCACATGATCTTGGTGGCTAATCTAACGGCCCAAAACGTGATATTACTGAAGTCTCACTCAAGTGTTCTCTCACTAAATCTATTGATTGATGCGAAATGTGGGAAGTGCCGCCAAACGTTTACATAAATCACCAGAAAAATCATCAAAACAGTCGATTAAAAGCAAAACAAATATATGTAGGGCTATCCATTTCGTGGTCTCAAAAAGGCACGGCGATATTTTGATATCTGTCAAGCTTAACTGTCAAACCAAACATGATTTGTTTTAGTTAAAAGTCAGGCAGTTGGGCAAATGGAACGCTTAACAACCTTACAATGCGTTAAAATTGTTAAAAATTTCCACAAAAATAGTGTTTCAAACCTGGCCGTGGTACTGTCTGGTATTAGAAAGGCCAAACATGATTGGGCAGCGCTTATGCATACACTACAAGAGCTCATAAACGACACTCGCGATCACATTGTCCTTCTCTCCGTTTTGATGCGAGTTAAGGCAAGAAGTTCATTTACCGAGGAGAATCCGAATACTTGGCGGCGAAGTCTTTCTCCCACCACGATTCCGAAACCAAATTTACACTCCTTTATATGTTCGCTCTAATAAAAATCACAAGAAACTTCTCAAATCTGCCCCTGTCCCGTCTATAACAGTTCTGGGCATCGGCACCTTCCCAATTAAGGGATCGAACATAGCAGATGCATGCCATCAAATCGAGATCATTAGTTTGTTGGCAGTGGTCGTCATCAAAAGGGGGGTACCTCATCTGAAGCTGTTGCCTCGTTATCATTGGAGGGAGTTGATTTTAATGGTCCAGCGCATAACAACGCTATTTATTTTGAGTGGCTCCGCTGAATATTCGTTTTTTTTGGCCTTCCCCTAATGCTCCACATGGGTTATTTAAAGCATCTCGCACAATGGTCGCTCAAGTTTCTGGGGACACAAGAGTAGGAATTTAGGGGTTACAGTTGGTTAGGATTTTCCAAATTCTTTTTTTTTTTAATTTCATTTTCGGAATGTATATGTTTTCAAGTAAATGCTCTGAAAATGGCAAGTCAATCCGACTGTTTTTTGCAATTTACACTCATATCCGTAACGACGCATCAGAGCATTTGAAAACGGTAAGCCGGTGTGGCGCCTCGTTTTCCTAAAAACTATATTTTTCAAGTCGGTGACCAAGATTTCTCGAGAACGGCTGAACCGATTAGTCTCAAATTTGCACACAATATTTTCTGGTACTTCATTGAAGCTTTTCATTACCGATGAAAAGTTTTCTTTCATGCGCAATTCAATGCCAAATTATAGGAAAATACAAATTTTTTTTTGAGAAGCCGCCATTTTGTCAAAAATTATTTATTTTTGGTTTATTCCTACTTAAAGCACAAGATTAAACATTGCTTTAAGGCTCACTTCTAGTGTGATATTTCAAAAAAATCGATCTTTTTTCACATTTCGGTAAATTGAACTTTTAAATAAATAACATATTAAAATTTCAAATCGATATCTCAAATGGTTTTTAAATTAAAGCAATTCAAAGAGCAGACGCTCGGCAGCTACAGAGTCTCGTTAGCTACGAGTGCATACGATCATTTTATCATTATCATTATCATATCTTTTTTTTTACATGTTCTATATATAGTTCTCTATACAATTTCTCATCGATTTTTGATCTGATCGAAAAATCAAATTTTGGCAGGCCAAAAACGACCAAAATTTTAGGTAAAATTCGGCTATTTTTTTAAAACGCCGTCATATTGTAAATTTTTAATTTTTTTTTTTCGTGTAGGTCATTGTACAGAAAATATTATCTAGTTTAACGAGATTTCATCCACGGAGAAGGCCGGAATCACTGCAGCAGTGAAGGACCTTTTTTTCGCCCTGTGGGAGATCGACTATAACTTAAAAAATATTCAATTTTTTTCTTCGAAAATTTTACTGTATATTTTTGAAACATGTATAAATATATTCTTGAAATTTTGAAATAATTGATAAAGTTTTTTTTTTTAATAAAAATTCCCAAAAATCACCGTTTTTTATGCCATTACACTAGGTCTGCGCCTTAACGAAAGCAGTCTGATTTTTTCATTTCATTTATTTTTAAATAGAAAATTGATAACTACTCTCCAAAGATGCCATAATATAAGCACAAATATTCAAAATAGTAAAGCTAAAAGTTTTCTCGGGAAAAATGTTTGAAAACTCACATTTTTTAGGGCTCCTACTAGATGTAATCCTCTAAGGATAACTGCATATTCAGAAGCTGGACTACACGTTTATTACCAGTTATATTATTGTGATTAAACATCTATTCTATGAGACTATAGCGCTCTAAGAACTACATTTTTTTTTAGTTAAATTATTTTAATATAAAAACTGTACTATGGTTATCCCAATACTTGTATTTATTCTTTTAGTATGAAATTTTGAAATAAAATTCTTTAAGCCTCCCTCGGATTGTATAACTTCCTCTTTACTATTTGCAGGTCTCCTTTTGTGCATCATCCTACGTAACGCCACTAACGCTGATCTTCTTTCTGTATATGTGTATGTTGGCCCGACTATGGAAGAGTGCACCCGGCTGTAAGCCATCAGCAGAATCAAGGTAAGCTAATTAAAGCGCACAAGCAAAAATCAACCATTGAACGTTGAGCTCTTAAGTAACGGACTATACTTCATCTCATACCTGCATACAGCCAAACGTCATTCATTTATTTCATTTGGCAACATAGGCAGTTGGGTGTATGTTTACATATGTACATATGTACATGCATACATATATGCGTATTTGTAAGTGGAGAGATCGAAATTGAAAAGGATACCGATTAAGCGGAAGTCATAAATAAAAGTTACACAAGCAGATCCTTAACTGATTCGTTTATTTTTTGAGCAGCGACGTCGTAAGCGTACCACTGAAACGTGCTTACGCATTGAATTAAGAGTTCTACAACTGTTATTTATACGAGCACACAAATTTGCTTGTGTACTGGCATGCCTACCTGTTCGTTGGAAAAATCATTAAATTCGCTGCAAGATAATTTGTATGTGCTTACGGTAAACCCGTTCAATCCTTCGGTGTATTTTGTGTATTATGAGAAAATCCGCGCGAAGTACCGCGTGCTCATGCATGCCGCGGAAAATTTAATTAGCGCGGTGCTGGAATTTTTTTCAGCTTGCATTGCTGGTAATATAATTTTCTCTATCCTTTTCCTTTGGATCTTATCGAATTTAATGAGAAAAATAAGAAATATTGTGAATATCGGAATTTTCAGTACATATTCAGTGGTTCCATTATCTTAATTGGCACATTAAATGCTATTAAATTATTTAATCAATTTATTTAAATATTACGAGAAGACTCAAAGCCAGGCAGGCACGCGCGCAGAGTTATTTGACAACTAACGCAAATTTGTCTCCGAGGCAGAGTTGGGTCACCATTTTAATAAAATACTCAGTGAGGTATCTTTGAAGCAGACAAGCTATGGTTAAAGTGTCAACTCAAAGTCCAAATGTGGGTGAGCATGTAAAGAGACAATTAACATACCACTCTTGAAAACGCAGCGCATAACATTTAGGTTTCAGGATTTGGATGTAAGAGGCAATGAAAAACAGAACGAAATATTCTGCGGTAGCTCCACTGATGAAACTGTCATTATCGACTGCTTCAAGCCTCTGAGCGACTTTGAATAAATAACAGAAAGTTAGCTTTGAGCAATAGGGTACTTCGTATTCTTGTAAGTGTATTGACGAGGCTGACAGAAGAGCTTGGTAAAAGCGAAATGGGCTGATTAAAGATCGAGCACAGAAGATGACGAAATGCTAGAGCACTACCTTTGCGAATGTCCGGCTTTCAACCAACTAAGATGGCGCAGCTTTCATGACACTTCTTGCACCAAATAGTTGGAAAACTATCTTCCTACTCATTAAAACTCTTAATTTTTAGCCCACTCGTTGGCTGAGGAGCTACCGCTTGCGGTCAGATCCGTCAATCTTCCCGTACAATTAACAAACCTTACAAAACTTTTACTATTTTAGGGGTGGTTGTGTGATGCATGCGAGATCTTAAGGGTGGAATTGAAAAATTTTTATTTTCAACGATGGACAAGCAGCATTTAAGAGGCTTGACTCGCTTAGATTGAATTCAAAATTTTTGCTGAACTGTCACTTATCTCTACAGGATAAGTTCGAACAGAAGCAACAATCAATAATTCGGGTTTCTGGCTACCGGAACATTGTAGGCTGCATCAGACTTGATAGATAACTTTTTTATATGACAAAATGTAGAAAAGTTTGAGATTTCCAAAGGAAGATATTTGAAATTTACCTGCCTTTATTATATATCTGCGGCCGCGGTAGCCGAATGTTTGGTATTGCGTACTGAAATTCGGAAGACTCGGGTTCATTTCCAGGTGTCACCAACATTCAAAAGTTATAGAAAATCAATTTAAATAAAATAATAAGTTAAATTCTCTAACTGTCACACCAGGAAATGTCCACCCCTCCGGTTGTATTTCGGACATGAAATAAAGGCTCCTCTTAAAAAACAAACCATCAGCCGTTTGGAGGCGGCTTAATATAAACTCTAGGTTCCTCCATTTGTATGGAAAAACATCAAGACGCAAAACCACAAACAAGAGGAGGAGCTCGGCCGAAAAATCGCTTCAACGGTTACAAAGCGCCAATTATATATATAAATATTATATATATCTAAAGTAGCAGAGATTAAAACTTAAATAAAAAGAGTGTTTTAAAGAATCGTAGTGAATGGACTCTGAAGTAATTGCATAAATATCGTCCAACCACAATGGGTATACACCAACCAAAATCAATCCTACTTAAGGTAAACGCGGATATGATATTTCTTTTCTACGACGGTGCGTATAGCCTGACATAATTTCGAGCAGCATATCGTAGAAGCAAAGAAATGTGCGTTTCTTAATAAACACTAAGATCACCTTATAGAAACCAGTATTAAGTTTCAACTTCGGATTCATGGCCCTATTATTAAGGATGAGTTTCTTTTGAGAAAATCACCGGTGCCTTAAGCCCTTAAACCTTTAAACGAAGCGAATTCTCCAGGGAAAGGAAGGCGAGATATTGGTAGAATATAAAAATTATTGGTATTTCAAAAAAAAAGGAAATAAAGGTAGAAAGAGACAGAATAAATATAAGCCACTGTCAAATAGTCGATGTAAAGGCTACAAAATATGAGGATAGAAAATTTATTAGATTGAAAAACACATGCATAAATAATAATATTTTAACCACATTACAATGTACAATAGTTTTCATGGCTTCTGCTTTCATTAATTTTTCACATTTTCCTCCACAGAAAAGGCAAACGACGTGTTACACGGATGGTTGTCGTGGTTGTGTGTGCGTTCGCAATATGTTGGCTACCAATACATGTAAGTACCTATAAATAGCAAAGCACAGAGGGCGAAATACTCAATCTGATTCATTGCTTCGGCATCAAGTTGAGCAAGGTGATTTCTTCTAAACACAATTTTCTTAAAAGAAGCACTGCAAAGAATATATTTTTATTTGATTTTTAATATAAAAAGTTCGGAAGGCACTGCACTGAATATCTGAGTGAACATATTTGTATGTACACGTACAAGGAAATCAAATACATTACATTTAATAAATATTAAACATATATTCATATTTAATGCAACTTCATTAAAGCCAATACAAACAAAATCAAGCAATTGAGGTCTGACTCCCTCTACGGTGGTCAGAAAACATCTGAAGGAATTTTATTAGCAAAGTAGGGAGATTTATGTTTTTTCTTAATGTATATGCACATACATGCTGTGAGTGACACAAGTACTTACCGTGAATACCTACTTCAACACATACACAAGTACTCAAGCGTATGCTTTAATATTTGCAACTCTTGACAACTACTGTTCTTAACAAATATGAATATTTTCCGCATGACTTTGGCCCTTTTACCTACTCAAACATGGCTATGGACACACATTAGACTGATCTCCAAATGCGACAGTCAAAATAAAAGTCCTTTCCAATAAAATAATATGATATATAAAATATAAAGTATAAAATATAATATATAATATATAAAATATAAAATATAAAAAATAAAATAAAATATATAAAATATAAAATATAAAATATAAATATAAAATAAAAAATTTAAAATATAAAATATAAAATATAATATATAAAATTTAAATATAAAATATAAAATATAAAATATAAAATATAAAATATAAAATATAAAATATAAAATATAAAATATAAAATATAAAATATAAAATATAAAATATTAAATAAAAATGTGAAATTATAAATAAATCATAAAAAATTGAAAAAAATATTTCCGATTATAAAAATTCACCTTGATTTCAGCAAGCTTACTAAACATATAAATTTACATACTTCTGCATATATGTGCGTTTAATATTGCATATGGCCCTCGTTTCTCTTAAGAAAAACCAATAAAATATGAAATTGAATGAAATCACTCAATAAATCAAGAGAGCTCATATGACTTTTGGAGTTTGACATGGCGTATGAGTGATATTGAAAACAACATTCATAAAATTAATGTATTGTGTATAACATACCAACATATTTATTCTTATGTATATATACGTATGTGCATATAAATTTGGTATATATATATGAGCTTATCGATAGGCCTATCAAGAAGGGAAAATAAGTATAAATCGACCACTTTACCCACCATTTTTTTTAATGTTAAATGTACTAATGATAGGCATGGAGATTTTTTACTGGGAAATTAAAAATATAATTATAATTTAGGTACTTATAGATTAGTAAGTGTTCTTAGTAGATATATATGTATTTTTATGAAACAAAAATAAAATCTACATATTTGCGGCTCAAGTTCCCTACAGGGCATCTTCGTGCGTACGTAAAATATATTTTACACTTTTTCGTAAATATTTTTTCATCTGCATATATAGCAGAAGAAAGTCATTAATATATTGTAAACAAACAATATATAAATGCATATTTTATGTCTTGTTGGGCGTTTATTATATTAGTAAAAGCAAATGGATGTGTGGGGATGTGTAGGAAATTTTCTGAAAATATATCAGTATTTTGATTATGTAAACAACAAAATGTAGGTATGTATGTATGCATACATGAATTTTGTTGGCTCTAGCCTTTACTCAGTTGAGGGAGTCGATTTTTCTTTCCTCAAACCATACACTAAATTTGGCAATGTGAAATATTGTATTTTTCGATACAAATAAGGACTTGTGGCGTGGCATATTTCATGAACAGGGGTTCAATTATTATTATTTTGTAGGAAAGTTTTCCAATTGAACTGATCGTTTTTGCCTTACAATGGAAGCTTATCCGTCCACTTCTACTGCATATTCATTGTCATTTCTTCAATACAGTTTTCCATTCTAGCGTCTTTCTTTTTATTTTCATTTTAATGTATATTAATATTTTATCCCGAAAAGGGCTTGATAATAAACGTTGGGCTTCTTATAGGCGTAGGTACCATAACGTACCAAAAATATCTACTCTGCTCCGATCGGCGCCAATTGAAGACATCAAGTGAAATCAGATCTCTTTACTACTGAATTTCCCCTCGTGGTGCACCGAATACTCTGAATGGTGGACTGTTTTCATCCATTTGGATGGCATAACTTAGCCATCGTGACAGCTGTCACTTAAAGCGAAAGCTCCCAGCGTAAATCCAGCAGAAGCTGCAATCATCCATGCTTCTTCACAAATAGAAGGCCGGGAATGATAAGCGACTTACCAAGTTTGGTCTTTGTTCATAGAGAGAGGCTTTGTTTTTCAATTGTATACTCATTTCAAAGTGGCAACTTTTGGTAAGAGGAATTTTGCGTTGGATTTCCCGTGAGTTTCCTCCACTTTGCTATTTTTCAGGCAGACAATTGCTATTCGAACTTTATCGTAGTCGGGGAATGGAACGCTTGTTCCAGCAACGTCGTTTGGAGAGTCAGATCCACCATCTGCATATGTTTTTATTTCCATCGGGATGAAAAAGAGATCCCATAATTCTGATAATGAAATTTTCTTGCTTTTCCCTTGTCCGCCACCTTCCATAGCTCTTCACACTCATGCTACTAGGCCTCTCTTAAAAACTCGGTATCCTTTTCACATAACGCGAGTTACGGTCGATAGCAACATTGCGATGTAGGCGATCCTTCATCTCTCCACTACGGTACCATAATCCTCAGCGTACCAGCTCTTCTATTGAATTTATCGAAAAATAAGAGTTTCTGTAGCGATAGTAGATGGGAAGCTTGAATCGCTGTTTCAGAGTTTTTTTATGCTTCGTGTGAAGGCTGAATTTTCCAACAGTCGTAACAAATATACCTTCTTTGCAAACTCTGATATTAAAGGGAGTCAAAATTTTCCGACTGTTGTATCGACTTTATCTTGTCTCAACGCTCAAGTGGGCAAATATAATTATGTCACCGTGAAGGTCTTGGTAACATCGTTTTTCCCTCCCGTCGAGGCGTGAACGCAAATCACCGATATGTTGAAGAGCTTCGCTTTGATGCGGATTGGGACAAGACACTCATCCATAGTTGTGAATATCATTTTTTACTGTGCACTCGTTACTAAATTTCTGTTCCTCTATATGAAGATTGTCAGTCGTCTTTCAAGGCCCTCCTCGTTTTGGTTACGGACCGTAAACTCGAAGTGCGCTGAAATTCTAATCCTAAAAATGTTTCCAGAGGTTTTGTGTTTTTTTTTTCATTGGAGCTTCCTCGCCGCTCCTCTGATGAACAATAGTTAACTCTTAAATCGCATCGGTCGGAGTCGCTTCGCTAAAATGAATTGGTTACCGCGTGTGCGACGATGAATCAAGAGTTGATATTGGGTATAACATTGTTGCTATGACTACAAGCCCAGTAGCAGTAAATAATTTATGTAAATATAAAATAGTACACACGTCTAAATTCGTAAAAAATGTTTAAATTCTCGGAAAATGTTTGTTGTTTGTATCACAATTGCATTTATTTGTTATTGGTTTGAAATTAAATAAACTTTCATTGTAAATTGGAAATTTCGTAATTGCTCCTTCATGAATATTTTTACTCAACTAATATTTGTTTATTGAACATATCTCTTGTATAAACATTTAAGTGAACATATCTATTTCGTTTGAATTTTATTAGCTGAATATTAATATATGAGTGGCGATATTTTACATATATATAGGGTGTTCGAAAATTAACGATAGGTTGGAATTAAATAGGAATTACAGTTTTTGGTCTTTCGATTGTAATTTTTTTTATTAAATCATAGGGTTTATATATAAGTTGCCTTTACGGCTCCCTATACATAAGCGCACTCATATGTCGAACTCTTCTTGACTACTCTGCATAAATGTGACTGAATTTTGTTGATGCAACCTCCTGTCCTCCTTTAAAGCACGCATGGTTGTGGGCTTGTTGCAATAGACCTGTGACTCCATTAACAAAAATCTATTGTTGTTTAGTGCGTAAATGCTGTAGAGAACTGCTTGAGATTTTCCATTCTTGTCTATGACACCGAATTGAGGTTCCTGAATTGTGATCGACACTCTCTCGTACTGCTTTGATATTAGCCATTTGTTGTATTTGGAAAACCAGTGCGTTTAGCGCCTTCAACGAATCCTGTTTCCCGGAATTTTTCAATTAATCCCTTCACAGTTGGCGTAATTTAAATACCGTACCTACCATGCGTTGAGTTGAGTTGAGTTGTTGCGGCTGCTGGTCAAGCCCCAGCACACTGAGGCTCCTGCCATCACTTTCTCAAATCATCGAACTATTTCGTGTGCCTTATAGAGGCAACAAGATTTCCAATATTCAATCAGGCTAACTCAGCGAGAATGTCAAAGAGGTGTTTCCCAAGAAACTTGTGTAGCGCGGATGTCAAGGCTGGACAGTGACAGAGGTAGTGCTCGATGGTCTTCTCCTCTTCTTCCCATCCTGTGAAGCTCCATTAAACCGTGTCCAGTCATTTAACCAGTCTTTATGTTAATGGAAAACTGGTCCAGAAGGTTAAGATGTTTAGATTTTTTTCGAGTCCAACTTCGGTCATAGCTGTCTGGTCATGTTATACGTGATCTCATTCAACCATCGTGCGTCAGCTTCCCTGATGAAGGCCAGTTTAAGCATGTACTTAGCCGTGGACAGAGGTAAATCAGCATCATATGCGTTTTCTTATCGTAGATGGAAGGGTTCCTTTCCTTGTTAGTACGTCTGTCATGCATTTGCCTGGCATGTCCCCGTAACCAGGTACCCAGACCAGAGTTTGTTTGTTTGTTGAGAGTGTTTCTAAAGTTTATGGGCTCTTTTGACGTGGTACCATTACATTGATGAAATCTGATTGCAGCCTGATTATCGGAGTAAATTGTAGCGGATTGTCCTGCAGCCGT